CGTATGTGTGCGTGTACGCACAGACATATACATTCACACACATATCTAGGTGTACAGGTACATATACAAATTAATAACAGCATCCAGCATTACAATTTCAATGTATAAAGTACTCTTCACACATTATTTCACAGTCCTCAAAATTAAAATTTAAGCTGGGTACGATACTTGTCTTAAAACATGAAAAAACGTAGTTTATAGGCACACTATCTGGGGCTCACCTCTTACTACCATCATATCCATAGAGGGACAGAAAAAAACTCAGATTTCCTGAATATCTGCTCCATACTAGGTGCTGTGCTAGCAATTTATCTTAAAAAGATGTCATTCTCCTTTTCAGAGAACAGTACGTAAGCTTAAAGCAATTAAGAAATTTGTACAAAACTCTGCAAGAGTGGAGTTTCCTTCGAGACCTGCGTACTTACTTTACTCAGGCTCCTCCTAGACAGCCAGGGTTTTGAGAAAAGAGACTGTACATTCACCTCCTGCTAAGCACCTGTGCCTCCCCCATAGGGAATAGGGCACTTTATTTCTTACTGATTACACACTGAATACACTCCAGAAACAGTGCAGTTGTTTCTTTAAAAACATTGGATAACTTATATAATCCTCTTTTAACTTTTAGGAAAACTCAACACACACTGGACCACTAAAATATCAGAGTTTCCCAGTGCAACACAGATCACCCCCAGAACATCTGGCTCAGAAATGCTTAGCACACACTAGCTGAAAATAAGAATGTCAAAAACTGAGATTGAGTAAAATGTCCCTGGAGACAGAAGCCACATGTTTTCTCATCTGAAGCCCAAATCACACTTCAGATCCTGAAGCTTTTCTTTTTCTTTCAGACAGTTCTCACTATGTAGCCCAGTCTGGCCTGGAACTCAGTATGCAGCCCCCATTGGCCTCAAACTCTCCATTTTCCTGCCTCAGTCTCCGAATGCTGGGATGGCATGCATGTGCCCCCACATCCAGCTTGGAACTTTTTCTAAAAGGTACGTGGTTCTGTGCAAGATAAGTCTGGAACTTCTTGCACCAGAAGGAATGAAAGTATTCAAAGAATGGTGAAGAAATATCAAGTAGACACAAACGCCATCTTTCAAGATCTCTTACCAGCCAAATCTTGGGAAATTCGTGCATCAAAATAAACCACATGCTTGGCACCAGTGGCTCACGTCTGCAATCCTAGTTACTCAGCAGAAATTGTGAGACTCATACTTTGAAGGCAGCCAGGGCAAAAAGTTCAGGAGACCCCCATCTCAACCAATAGCTGGGTGTGGTGATGCACACCTGTGTCATCCCAAGCTACATGGGGAAGCATACACAGGAGAATTGTGGATCAATCTGGCCAAGACAAAAAGCCAGACCCTATCTCAAAAATAACCAGAGGAAAACTGGCTGGAGGTATGGCTCAAGTGGTAGAGTACCTGCCTAGCGAACATGAAGCCCTGAGTTCAAACTCCAGTGCAAGAAAGACAAGGGAGGAAGAAAGGGGGGTGGAGAGGGAGGAAAGAATTATAACCCATTAAATAAAATTGAAAATTGTGAAATTCTTTTTCCTTTCTTGAATAAGTGGTTTAAAGAATTCATCCAGCAATGGTGAACCAATGACAACCACTAGCAAAGTCATCAGAAGGTAATCTCAAGATTAGTGTAATTATTACGTTTTTCTCCTGGCAGTACAGGGGTTTGAACTCAGGACCTCACGCTTGCTAGGCAGGCACTCTACCATTTGAGCCACTCCACCAAGCCCCCATTAAATAAAATTGAACACCAGGAATATATATTAATATAAACCAATAAATTTAAGTCTGGGGAGGAGCAGGGTATTTTCAGAGGCTTGAAGAACCTTTCCACAAGTGTTAACTCCATGGGGAAGAACAGATCTGCAGTGGGAAGCCTGGAGAGAAGCCTGAAGTCAAGATGTTAAAGTGGACATCACCGCCACATGACAACTCAGTCCATGCACATCCTTTCAGCAGGTTGAAGAGAAGGCCACAGTGTCCCTTTTGTGATGTCCTCACAAATATTCACAATCTGAATCTAACAATAAGGAAGCATCAAGCAATTTCAAAATGGAAGACACTTTAATAAACTTGTCCATAATCTTCCCAAATATCAACGTCATAAAGAAGAAGGAAAGGTGAAAAATATTTTCAGTTTGAAGGACAGTAATAAAACATGAAAACTAAATATGATGCATGATTCCAAACTGGCTCTTTTGCTTTAGAGAACATTTTGGGGGTAACTGGTAAAACTTGAATGGGCTACAATAATTAGATAACAGTAACATATCAGCATTAATTTTTTCATTTTAAGGGTGGTATTGTGATTATACAGGAGAATGTTCTTCTATGTAGGAAACACACTGAAGTATCTCTGAGAGTAGGGGTCATGTTGGCAACCTGGTGTCAAGTGGTGAAGAGAAACCTTTGTACTGTTCTTGAAACCTTTTTGTAAGTTAGTTCGTATTTTCAAAAAGATATTTGGTTGTTCCACATTTACCTAATCTGATTTCAGTAACAAACTAAACACTTACAAGCCTCACATCCAGGGCAGTCTACATTGCTCTCTTTGCTATAAACTAGGAAATGAATCAGACTGCCAGTTTTAAGATTAGCAAGAAGTATAAAAGCAAGATGATGGCTACACAGAGTTATTATACTAGGCTCTTCACATTTATGAGTAAAATCACCATATTTAAATTATTTTTAAATATCTTGCTTAAAAAAGCAACAGCTATTTGGACACATTTACAGTTAACAAGATTAGTTAAGGTCCCCATCATCATAGCATCCCTGTGAACACACTGTTATTACTATTCCTGGAGAAGAGAAGGGGGGTAAGGGTGGAGGAGAACAGGAAGAGAGAGGAAGAGGGGGGAAGAGAGACAGACAGAGGGAAAAAGACAGACAGAGGAAGGAGGGGCAAAAGTGGGGGAAGAAGAGAGAGAAGAAGAGAGAGTAAAGAACTTTTCACATTATCTGGGATAGAAGTCATGAAGATAAGGGCCATGATAAATTCAGATTGCTTTAAATTGTAGAACTCCTCCCTATAAACTTGCAGTTTTTCTCATTCTTGATTGAACATCAGCAGAAACAGGTATCTGAGATTTTTAAAAATACGTGTGGCCATCATGTGCCAAAGGGAGTTGGCAAGTGGTCCTGAGGGGATACAAACTCACTCTCACACTCTCTCTCTCTCACTCACACACTCACACACAAACAAAGAATCAAGATGAAGAAAATTTTAAATTTAAACTCTCCAATCCCCTTTATTATAAAATTATTCCACATATAACTCAACTTCTGCTTCTGTCTTGTTTGGAACCTTGCTCAAAGCAAAAGGGAAGAGAAGCAGATGACAAAGTGCTCAGCTGCTGAGCTCATAAAAGCACTGCTGGGGCAGTACAGCTTCTGAAAGCTCTCCTGGAGGATGAAAACCAAGCTACAAAGTGGCAAAGAGCCAAGGGGCCTGTCTTTGAGGAGTCCTGTCCTGCTGGGCATCCACTGCTGAAAATCAGTTCACCAAGCCACTTGTCTTTTATTTGTAAGCAAATAAAGGTTTGCTTACTTCGTGCATCTAATTTATTTCTTATGGTTAGTAATCACTATACACGAAGAGGATAAAAGGACAATTCTCAAGTGTCCATGGAGCAAGGACCACATCTAATTCCCTGTTCTTTGTGGTACTTTCTACTGTTGCTGGTATTTTCAATAGCAATGAAAGTATCCTTTGTTCAAACCCCAGTGCTGCAAAAACAAAAGAAAAAAAGAAAGTATCCCTCTACTTAATTATCCCACCAATAAAACACACTTGTTTAGTCAGCTTTATGCCACACAAATATGACTGACTTATATATTTTACCACAAATAAAAGCAGCAAAGAAACAACATTCTTTAAGCAAACTTAATGTCCAGTTAGGTGGAAAAGCTTACCAGGTTCATTTCCTGAGTCAACTCAGAGAGGATTATTACTCCTATTATGCAGTGCTCCACAGTGCCCTTTAGAGAAAACAACCAAGTTTAGCCGAAGTGAAAAAATGTGATTGCTTCTTAATGTATAAACTAACTTTTAATTAAATACCAAAACACATTTACTTTACAAAATATCTTTAAAATCACAAGAGTTCTATAAATAAAAGAATTTCAGTTTTTGAACAATAAATATCGTTACACAGAAAATGCTCAACTAAACAGTATGTTACCCCACCAAACATCTTTAGTGCATGGGATGCCTAAGAAACTAAGCTGCAAAATAGGAGGGGTTCACTTAGTCCTTTCTATAAGACTATGAATAAGAATGAGAATAAAGAAATTTGCTTGAAACCTACTCTGATAGCGACATTTAGTAAATAATTGACAACCAGTTTAAGAACTACTTCAAGTTGCTGGGTCTAATATCGGGGTAATGTCACTTGGTGTGCATGAGTGGACTCACTGGCACCTCTAATGAAGACACCTAAAGCACCCAGTGCAGAGGAGGAAGTACATGACTGCCAGCATGTGTAAAGCTTCATAGTCTCCCCTGCTTTCCACTTAGCCAGCTAATAGTTTCATCCAAAACGTCCTTCATGTCAAAGTTCAGATTTTATATACCCATCACTAACAAATCATCTTATTGCAACCTCACAATAGAAGTACGCAATAAGTATAACAGATTTCAGTACAATCATGCAAAAACACTGGCACAGATGGTTTACTTTTCAAATCTTCATTGTAAAGCTGTCATCCCTTCTAACTCACACAAATCCAATGACATTGTTCACTAGGTGTAATTACGTTCAAATTATCTCAATGTCAACAAAATTAACGAAAGAAGCACCCCGCAATTTTTGCATTTCAGCTCTTTACAACCCTTCAGGTTAGTCAAGGGGCCTGAGGGAGCTCCTGAAGTCCTACTCACTGCAGCACCCACCCTGGTACAGTGATCAGTAAGTGTCTACTGGGTGGCTCCCTGGCCAACTACTGGTCCATGAACCCACAGGCAGTCTGAAAATGGCTTAGTACTGGTCCAAAGCAAAACAAAGGCCTGTACTATACTAGAACATGAGCTTGGTAGGACACTGAATACATGCTGCTTAGGTAAGTTGGCATGTTTTCCACAGAACCCTTTTACAACAAAAGGAACACCAAGCTCATTTCCAATCTGACACAAGCACTCTGTCTTACGGTAGGCCAGCACTCTGACCAGCACTGCCCTGGACGACAATCCCCTCAGTGTACACACAGAAAGAAGGCACATAAATACGTGTGGAGTGCGGCAGCAGGACGTGTGGAGTGCAGCAGCAGCAGGCTGATAAGCAGGACACCTAAGACTTCAGCCATTAAATATTTAATGAACTCAAGATAATTTTTTGGGACAAAGTTCACAGAAGCTGCAATTCACAAAGGAACCACTGATATAGTCTGATAGGACTGTATCAGAGAACTACAGATCAGGTCCATTGTCTTGTGGTAACTGAAGGTTAGGTCAAGTCACACACCCAGAAAACAGTAGACAATGCTCTGTGATGACCTACAGTAAACTTTCAAGATCTTCACTTTCCTCTCATGAAGAAACAGACTAACTGATGAAGCTATGCAAATACCCAAAACTTGAAGCTGAATTTACCAGCCACTGAAGAGGAATCTTACAAATGTTAGTCAACAAGAGTGATTCATTCCATTCTGCTTTCAACCTTGATTTTATTGTAAAAGAACTCCAAGACTATCTCTGTCTACTCTAATGCATCTTGGTAATCTCAGTAAGTCTTACTGGTAAGAGGGGGATGCTATTATGTCAGCCAAAATTATAAACTCAATCTGTCTTTAAATGAAGTATCTTCTGTCCCACTGCACACCGAACTCCCAGGTGGTAAAGATGTGCTTACTCCTGGCAAGTTTTAGATGACCAGGGTCTCTACACATGAAGAAAAGAGCAGCTGCATAGTCTGGTGCTTTGTATTCTGAGGATTCTGGCACTGCACTCTGTGAAGGACTTTCCTTTCACACAGGGTATGTGTCAAAGCTACTGCAGAAGTTAAGTCTCAGAGAATCCATACTGCCGTTTATCACTTATAAACCAATATTGAGCCATCTCTCCATCAAGAATTTAACAGATCACTAATCTTCAACTGGACACCAGCTAAAATAATTTTCTTGCGATTAGGGATTATGCCAGCATTAAATAATATGTCTCTTTAAGTATCTAATTATCCCAAGGAAAAGGCACTCAGGATCCATAAGCAGATTCAGGAATCCCTACATCACCTCAGGACTTATAGTCACCATGCAGAGTACAAGAGGCATCATGGGATAACTTAGTGTCCTCTTGGTTTTGAGAGCTGGTTTGGAGGTTCTAGCAGGGGAGCCCAGCTACTTGTATAACCTTGACCCAAGAATGGTCCTCCTCTATTGGGGATGCTCATCATCCTCTATGACAGAGCACGCAGCTTCTGGAGGGACAATCCACTGGGAGCAAAGAGGAAGGAAGGGGACACCTGCCAAGCTAGCCAGACCTGCTGGATCAACCCTGGCTATAAATGGGGTGACAGATGTCACAGCCAGATTGCCCTCACATCCTGCTGTTGGTTTTGGATTTGCTTCTTTTTTGCAATTCAAGTATGTGAATTAAATATTCTAAATTAAATATTAAATGTGCATATCCTATGACTTTAATGAGTTAGGGAGAAAATATTCTTAAGCGGATGACAGTCAATGTGATAGTTTATAAAACTAAACAGTATGGTGTCAGAAGACTTGCTGCCATTCTAGTTGTATACTCAGTACATCACTGTGTGACCTTGTATAAACTAATGACCCTTGTAAGGCTCAATTACAAGATGAAAGCCATCACACAGAGTTGCACAGACTGAGACAAAGAACATCACATGCATGGTCTGCATACCTGCAGTGCATGTGCATGTTGTGAGTGAAAGAATGCACACTTGAATTAGAAACCATGACTTTTTGCATTCTTCTGGTGTGGAAGTTGTGTAAGAGCATGATTTTCACTTACTGACAATAAACAATCAAAGACCCAAAGGATAAATAATAAATAGCAATACAGTAATGGTAGCTACAAAAAAACCCCACAGCCTTAAAGACAACGGCATTAAGCCAAAAACAGCAAGTAGTGGCATCCTGATGAGACAGCAATTCCCTCTCACCTGCAGGAACTTCTTCACATCCGCAATAAGCTCTCTGAAGACAAACTGTTCTTTCTGAACCTCAAACCACCCCAGCTTCGTGATTTTAGCAATGACTTGGATAAGAGCTTGGATGACAAAAGGAGCCAGCTTAGGCTGTGATGCCACATAGTTGAGAATGTAGTTTCCTGTAAAGAAACACTTTATCATCATTTGGACCTTGGAGAAGCAGAGATGTGCTGGTGACAATGAGGTGACCCTCTCCTCAAGTCATGTACTTTATTATGTATCGATTCTTCTATAACGTTTGCTTTGAAAATAGCCAATGTGTTCCATTGTATTTTGATAAACTGGGATAATCTGCATATAATATAAACCCCACTTTCATTTCTGCATGATTTTATCTTCAGAAAAATGATGGGTAAATGCAGAAAACTGCAACCAGGCCATACCCAAAATGCACATGCCTCCAACACCTTCTGAGGGTCTCATCTCACCTGTGTGCTACCAACCATACCCATCCTTACCTGGTGTCACCACTTCCCATCCTGTGTAGATAACCTCCCTTCCATCACTTCGCAGAAATTCCCAAGGTGCAACCCAAATGAAGAGCTGCACAGGGTTAGGCAGAAAGCTCACTGGTATAGAGATTGCCTGCCAGGCCCAAGACCGTGAGTTCAATCTCCAACAGTAAAAAAGATATGCACAAATTACAGATCTTTTCAGGACAAAAATGCAACACTTGCTCTACTACTTGGGTGTTTCTAAACCATTTAAAACATGGGTAAAACTCTACAATGCTTTATTAGATTTTTGTGTTTTTTTAAATATATCACTGGCAAAGTTTTTGAATTTTGTTTCCATAGTGTTATTTCTTTCATAACACATAACAGTGTTATGTCTGTAACACTGTATAGCAAGTCACTTTCAGGTATAAATACATAAGTCATGTTAAGGCAAAAGTGACTGGGATCTGGAGATGCTGCTCAATAGTAGAGAGCTTGCCTCACATGTGCGAGGCCTGGGTTTAATACCCACCCAGCACCACAAAAATTTTAAAAAACAAAACAGATCCCTCTGACCAGGCTAAGAGATTATAATCATTTAAAAAAATAGACTGCAGCTGGGCACCAGCAGCAGTCTTGAGAGGCTGAGATTGGGAGGATCGCAGTTTGAGGCCACCCTGGGCAAAACATTCTGGAGACTCCATTTCAACCAACAGCTGGACATGGTGGCACATGCCTGTCATCCCGAGCTAGCCAGGCCAGGCAAAAGAGCTTGTGAAACCGCATTTCAAGAGAAAAAAGCTGGTGATGGCATGTACCTGCCATTCTACCCACAGTGGGACTTAATACAGGACTGTGATACAGGCCAGCAAAACCAGCTCTCCAAGACAACCAGAGCAAGAAAGGGCTGGAGGTGCAGCTCGAGTGGTAGAGTATCTGCCTGGCAAGGGCAAAGCCCTGAGTTCAAACCCCAGTGCTGCAAACAAACAAAAAACTGAAGACTATTGTATTGATATAAAATATAAATAAATAGCCCAATATGAAAAAACAAGCACATAAGTTAAAGAAAACATGAACAGAAGAGCGAAGTAATGGTTGGCATAAAGATAACATCGAAAATACACTTAGATGTCATTTAACTAGAAATGCGTTGATGGAACACCTCCAAATAACAAGGACAGTTTTTAAAAAGCTACAGACTGGGTGCAAGGGCTCACACATACAATTCCACCTACTCAGAAGACGGAGATTAGGAGAATCGTGAACAGAGGTCAGCCCAAAAAGTTGGCAAGATCCCATCTGAACAAACAAGATAGGCATGGTGGTTCATGCCTGAAATCCCAGCTACATAGGAGGCCTAAGTAGGAGGACTGTGGTCTGAGGCCAGCTCAGGACAAAAAAACTTATCTGAAAAGTAACTAAAGCAAAAAATGTTGGAGGTGTGACTCAAGTGGCAGAGTGCCTAACTAGCAAGTGTGAGGCCTTGAGTTCAAACTCTGTATCATCAAACAAATGGAGCAATAATCTATGCCTTGCATAGCTTATGATTTATGGGGGGAAGTAGGTAGAGAAAATAAGCAAAAAAAGCTAGAAGCTCAAGATCAAGGTAAGATTCATGAGGTGGCCATGCAGAGAAAGTGATGCTGTTAACACTCCTGGTAAGAGTCAAAGTGTACAGGCACTTGGGAAAACAGTTGGGATATTACTGTAAAGTTAACATAAGCTTTTTAGAACTCAGCAAGTGCATGCTGAGGTTTTTATTTAAGAGAAGTGAAAATGTAGGCCCAAATACTTGTATAAAAATGTTCACAGAGTCACTTATGGTGGCCCAACATGAAACAACCCTAATGTTTATTAACTAGTGAACAGATAAGTCACATAGCTACACAAGGAAGTATTACTGCGCAATCAAAAGGACAGAATAGTGATGCTTGATCTAACACAGATGAAACTCAAGGCTCCTAACAGCAAATCGTGAAAATGTCCATACAGCTGTAAACATGTTAACACCACTAATCGTACCCTTGAAGAAGTCAACTTCAAAGCAAGTCAAAATTCAAAATCTAAGTGTGGTTTCCATCGAATGCGTATTGATTTGCATTATAGTAAAGTGAAAGAAAAAGTCAGTCAGGGAGCATCTGTATCCCTACTTCTAAAGAGAAAGTGTCCACTTTAAAAACACTAAGTCAAACAGGCAATATGAATGCCTGTATCTATTAAAGAATCTGACTGATAATTCATTCCCTTCTAAAACAGAAAGCAGCAGACCCAGATGGGTTCACTGGAGGACACCACCAAACGTGAGCAAGTCACACCAGTTCTTCACAGTGTCTTCAACAGAGTAGAGGGGTTCTTCCTAACCCGCCTTACGAGCCAGCATTTCCTGAAGCAGTTCTGATGATCAAACCTAGGGCTTCATGCAGCTAGGCAAACACTCCACCACTGAGCTACACCCTCAACCCCAATGTTACCCTAATACACGAAAACCAAAGACATTACAAGAAAACTATAGACAAATATCCCTCATGAACACTGGTATGGAAATTCTCAATAAAATATTAGCAAATTGAATGCAACAATGCATAAGAATTAAACACTCTTACAAAGTAGGATTTATCCCAGGTATGCAAGGCTGGTTAGCATTCAAAAATCATTAATGGACTAAAGAATAAACATCATATAATGTATTAACAGATGCAAAAAAAAAAAAAAACACATTTAACAAAATGCAACATCCATTGGTGATGAAAGCGCTTAGCCAAGTGAGAACAGACAGGAGCTCGCTCAAGCTGATAAAGAGCATCTATAAAAACCTATGGCTAATGTTATATTCAACGCTGAGAACCCTGAAGCTTTCCCATCAAGCTCAGGAACAAGGCAAGATGGCCCCTCTCACCAGGGTCTTGCTTTGTTTTGTTTTGAAATAGGGCCTCGTTATGTAGCCTAGGATGCCCTTGAACTTAGGATCCTCCCACCTGAGCCTCCCCCAGTGCTGTGATTACAGGCAGGACCACCACACCCAGCTTCACCACTGTTTGTCAGTATGTTCTGGAAGCCCCAATTAATGTAAGAGGACAATGAAAGGAAATAAAAGCACATAGGTGAAAAAGAAAGAACACTACCTTTGCTTACAGATGACGTGATCATGTATGCAGAAAACTCAAGAGAATCAACAAATAATTCCTGAACTAGGGAGTGATTACAAATACAAAGCTACAAAGTTAATACACCAGAATCAATCACACTCCTGTACTACCAATGAACAAGTGCAACTTGAAATTAAAAACACAGCATCATTTATACAGCAACCCAAAAACTGACTACTTAGGAATAAATTTAATAAAATATGTACAAGACCTGAATGAGAAAAATTTAAAAACTGTAACAAATGAACTCAAAGGACATATAAATAAATGGTAAAATTCAGAACACTAACACCACCAAATGCTGGCAGGAAGTGGCATTTGTTGCTGGGAGGGCAGTCCAGCCAACTCAAGAGACAGCTTGAGGTTTCTGACAGGCTGAGCACATCCTTACCGTAAGACCCAGCAATTACGCTCGGATATTCACCCGAGACAGGTGGAAAGATGTCGGCACGAAACCTGCATGTACGCGTTACAGCATTATATACTAACAACTGCCATATCTGGAGGCAACCAAAATGGCCTTCAGTAGGTGGAATGCTCAGGCAGTGAGTTATTATTATTCATGACTAAAAAGAGATAAGGTTATCAAGCCATGAAAGACATGGAGGAACACTAAACGTGTATTCTCTCATATTAAAAGAAAGACGCCAATCTGGAAAAGGCTACATACTGTATGATTCCAACTATATGACATTCTGGAGAAGCAAAACTATGAAGCTAGAAAGGTTGGGGGGCAGAGGGAGGAACTGGAAGAGCACAGAGGACTTTTAGGGCATGAAGTGCCTAAGATTTGAGGTGCTGTGGAACTGGGAGTTAAATATATGAGGCACGTGACATATCACTATGTGATTTTGTCCATTTAAATTTGAGCTTAAAGTTTCGTAACAGAATTTATTTTAATTTTTCTGAAGAGAAATATAATCATGTTAACACGAAGGCTGAAGAAGAGAAATGAGTCAACAATCTACCTCTATTATGAACAAAAAAGAAAAACATTCCATGCCTCAATTATTAGTTTTGTCCATATGGAATGCAAACTTCCATGTACACTAAAGCTTAGAATACATGACTTCTGAAAATGTTAATCTGTTTTATAGAATCAGCATTCCGACCGCAGTCATTCGAAGCACTGTTTACCCATACACAAGCTATCGTCCTAGAGAGGAGGAGTCTGTTCCCAACTGTGGTGCCACATCCCGACACAAACTGGAGAGCTGACTTTTTTCCCTGTCCTTCAGTTGCTTATCTGCACATCATGGCTAAGAGCAGACTCCACAGAGCTTGAGCGGACTTCAATGACAACTCTACTATTTCCTAGCTGTGTGATCTCCAGCAAGTGACAAATCCATTCCTTATGAAAAATGAAGACAGCTCATTAATTTGTTTGAAGGATGAAATGAGATAGTGCAAATCTTAGCAAACACTATGCACACAGAAATGCAGGTTATTTATTATTAAATTAACAAATGCTTTTTATAATTATTTATCCCTTTGCATGTATATTGTTCTCGCATGCAATGGAAGATGATGCCTCATTCAGAGGTGGCTTACATGTGCAAGTCAGTAACTATAATGCAGCACACAAACAGAATCAAGGCCAAAGCCACATGACCATCTCAACGGGTGCATAACAAGCCTCTGACAAAACCTAGCATCCGTTTCTGATAAAAGCCCTGAAGAAATGAATAGTAGAAAGAAAATATCTCAACATAATAAAGGCTGTATGACAAACCTATAGTCAACACTGCATTGACTGAGAAAAAAACAGAAACCATTTCCTCTAAAGTCAGGAATGAGACAACAGTGACCACTCTCTCCACTTTTACTTGATACACTGCTTGAACTCTTAGCCAAAGCAGTAAGGCAGGAGAAAGAAATTAAAAGGACACAAATACCAAAAAAAGTTATTAAATTATCCCTATTTGCAGATTATACGATCCTATTCTTAAAAACCCTAAAAACTCTACCAGAAAAACTTTTAGACCTGATAAACACTCTCAGCAAAGTTACTACTTTGATTCAAAATCAAAATACAAAAATCAGTAGTTTCCATACACACCAACAACAAACATGCTGAGGAAGAAATCAGGAAAACAACTCTATTCATAACAGCCTCAAATATGTGTGTGTGTGTAACTATGCCAGACACCAGTACTCAAGCCTGCAATCCTAGCTACTCGGGAGGCAGAGATGAGGAGGATCGCAGTTCCAAGCCAGCCTGGGAAATAGTTCACAAAACCCTATCTCGAAAAAAACCATCACAAAAAAGGGCTGGAGTAGCTCATGGTGTAGGCCCTAAGTTCAAACCCCAGTACTACAAAAAGAGAAAGAAAACTGTAAAACACCAAAGAAGCTAGGTGTGTTGCTCACACAACTAATTCCAGCTATATGGGAAGCGAGATTGGGAGCATCGTGGTTTGAGGCCAATCTGGGCTAAAATTTATCGAGACCACACCTCAACCAATAAAGCTAGGCATGGTATACATACTATGCCGGGGGCGTAAATAGGAGAATCGTCACCAGCCAGACCCAGGTAAAAACACAAGACTCTAATCAATAAAGTAGCTAAAGCAAAAGGGACCAGGGCGTGGCTCAAGTAGTAAAGTGCAAGTGCAAGGCCCAGTTCAAATCCCAAAACCAAAAAAAAGAAAATCATAAAAAGTGACCACTGAAAAAAGAAATTGAAGATGACTTTCATGATCAGAATTAATATTGTGAAAATGGCTACAGTACCAACGTCAATCTACAGATTCAATGCAATATCCATCTGAACCTTAACCACATTCTTCACAGAGACAGAAAAAATCCTAGAATTCATACGGAAATACAACAGACCCAAAATAGCCAAAGCAATCCTAAGTCAAAAGAACAATGCTAGAAGTATCACAATACCTGACTTCAAATTATACTACAGAGCCATAACAAACAGAGCATGGTACAGGTACAAAAACAGACACACAGACCAATGGAAAGGATAGAGGACCCAGAAATAAGCTCACATACCTACAGCCATCTGATTCTAGACCAAGGTGCCAAAAACATAAGTGGAAAAAAGATGGTCACTTCAACAAATGGTATTGGTAAACTGAACATTCACATACAGAAGACTGAAACTGGATCCCTATCTCTCACCTTGTACAAAAATCAATTCAAAAAGAATTAAAAATGTAAGACCTTAAATTGTGAAACTATTACAGGAAAACACTTAAAGATGTACTCCTGAATAGGACTCTTAATGGCTCAGGAAACAAAACCAAGAACTGACAAATGGGATTACATCAAATTAAAAAGCTTCTGCATGTTAAAGGAAACAATTACTAAAGTGCAAAAACACCCAACAGAAGAAAATCTTTACAAGGGATTAATATCCAGGATATATAAAAAGCTCAAAAAAGGAAACACCAAAAGAATAATCCAATTAACAAATGAATTAAACAATTATACATGAAAAAAAGTTCAACATCCTTAGTTATAACCGAAATGCAACGCAAAACAACACTGAGATTCCATTCCACCCTAGACAGAATGCCATCAAAAAAACAAACAGTATCAAACGCTGGCAAGAATGAGGGAGAAAAGGAACCCTCACACACTGTTGGTGGGAACGTAGTTAAAGCAGTCACTCTGGAAATGAGTACCATGTGATCCTGCTATGACACTCCTGAGTATATACCTGAAGAAATGTAAGCCAGCTTACAGGAGAGACACCCACACACCAAAGTGAATATATCACAGCCCAATTCACAACAGCCAAGTTACAGTATCAGCCTAGGCAACACACACACACACACACACACACACACACACACAGTGGAGTATCATAAAGAATGAAATTAGGTCATTTTCAGGAAAATGGATGGAAATGGAGATCATTATATTAACCAAGATAAGCCTGACTCAGAAAAACAAGTATCACATTTTCCTTCACACATGACATTAGATCCATAAATACAAACACACACATGACCAAAAAAGCATGAACTAAACAGGAACTGTTTGGAGGGGAGGGGTGAGAGGAATGGACAAGGGAGAGTAAGAGGGTGATGGTGAACAGGGTCAAAGCACATCGGATACACGTGTGCAAATGTCATAATGAAACCCAGTTTTAGACAAGGTTTTAAAAACCACTTTTAAAAAGCAAGAGGAAAATATTTAAAAACCAGTTAGTTTTTGATACACTTAGATAACTTAAAATAATATACATTAGGATTTTTAATGCAAAAAATAACAGGTTAACTATAAAAAAGTTACAGAATCAGGTAATTTGCAAACCTGGCACAGGTTAACATATTTAAAGTTTATTTTTAAAGCAGAAGTTGTCAAAAGCGTAATAATCACTTACTGATATCTATCCTCTGTTCAACAGGTAAAGGGGTGATTCGACTAACAAGTTTTGAAAGGCACGTTGCTGCCAGGAGCTGGGCATAGGAAGTCTGTAAAGAATAATAATTTTATTACTACCGCAAAAAAAAAAAATAACCAAAATATTATGACAGGGAATTTTTTCTACGCAAAACTGAGAACTTTTCTGGTTTTCTGGACTTATAATGGATAAAACATACCTGTTTGAGACACACACATGGATGTCTACAATCCCTGGCTGAGGCGGGTGGTAGGTAGGCATCTCAACAAAGCAAGCTGAAAGAAAACACCCTTACCACGGCCTACACAGTTCTGCACATCTGCCTCTCATCCCCTATAAGATCACCTGGCTTCATGCCTCATTACATTGTGATCACCATAACTTTTCAGTTCCTTTCATGCCTTTCCCTCTCTGACCTCCATGTTCCCTCAAGACTCGTGACTGACTGTACTCTTTTGCCACCAACTCTCTTACTTTAATAGTGTACTCAAATTCTGTAAGTGCATGGTCACCCTTCAGAATTCACTTCAGTTATTCATTACACCCTAGGAATTTCTTGCCAAGAAAAGTCCATGCATCAAATCATGCCTTCTTTTGCACTGCCTGTGAGCTAGAAAATGGTTTTTATAGTTTTCAACAGTTGAAAAAATTTTTAAGTAACAATATCTTGCAACATGTAACAATGTCCATAAATAAGGCTTGTTAAAAACACAGCCATCCTCATTCATTTCACACTGTTTATGGCTGCTTTCACACTTAACTGACAGTTCAGACGGACCATATGTGCTCACTGCTTTCTACTGCTGCTCAGTGCACCACAAATTGAAAAGATGGAATTATAACTCCAATGTACACAGCATCCCCATGACACGACATGTACCTTTCACTGTTACCAGAACATGTTCATGACAGCATGTCAAAACCAGAAAAGATATGAACGGGTTTCAAATACCTAACTTTCAAGGCACAGTACTGAATTAGAAGGCAAAGCAAGGTACTATTTTTCCAATGGTGCCATAGCTATCCCAAAAGAATACAAAATGTGTTGACAATACCAAACCAAACATTCATCACAATGTTCTCAACTCACAGAAAATCAGTAGTCAGAAAAAGAAAATTTAAAAGATAATGCCATCACAGCAGAATTTTTACAAACATAAAAAAAAAAAAATGAAGCTGCAATCAAACTGAAGTTTCCATCCAAGCAAAGAGGGCTACTTAGCAATGATAAGGTAATCAAATCACCACTGTTTATTGTAGCAGCTAGTCATGAGTACAGAGAAAATAAGCTTGACCAGCCTGTCAGTGAGGACAAATGCTAAAGAGGTGGACACCAGAGCAACATCAAAAGTCAATCTAAAGACACGACAATTAATTTGGAAAGAGGATGTTAGCTTGCAATGAGTGGACAGACGCTGCTAATATTGTCTAACTGTTAATGTTACCCATACTTACTATTTACTTACTCTACAAGTCAATGCTGAGTGTGAAGCAACTGAAAAATAAGCCTCCATGAAGAGTCCCTGTAACTACATTCAAGGAAATTTTCAAAGAAGTTGAGAAAACATTAATTCAATATAACCTTAAATAGAATCTGCTAGATGCTGGTGGTAAAAAAAATATGGAGCAGAAAGGGGCTTAGTTGGACAAGTACACAAAGCTTGTAAATCCATAAGGTGCTTACAGCCTATGACCATTAATTAGCAGATATTCTGTAGTGAATATCTGAACTTACCATAAGTGAGGAGAATTGACAATGAACATTTATTCTCTTTTGTGAACTTGTTTTCAGTTCTGTGAATTTCTATCATAGACAGAAGCTCAATATCTTGACTTGCCCCATCACACAGTAGTTTAATATCTTGTCAGTGGTTAAGATATATTGCAATATTTTTAGCTCAGAGCTGAGAATGAAATTTTTCTGGATAAGAAGGCCAAGTTACTGCTGTTCAATATTAAATGGTTTTAGAAATTACTCTTTACTGTGAACTTGATAATGTCTCCTAGAGAATTCAACCTCACATGGCCTGAAAGACAAACGGTATAGTACTGTCAGCCGGAATGACCACAGTGAAGTCACTTCAGAAAATACTGGGGAGATCACAAGCAACACAACCTGCTTGACATACTTCCTGCATGCCGGCAGTTACGCAAGAAGTGAGATCTCTACTCACATATGACTTCTGAACTCCAACTACTGCTCCAACAGTGTGCTCAGACCTTGATGCAGCTACAAGGGAACTATCCATACTTCAACACCAGCTCACTGTGCAGCTGAAGAGCTTCACCTAGTCTTCAGGTGAAAAGAGCTGATCTAATGTAACGATGTGCTAACATGCAAACGTCAAGAGAAGATTTAACAGAGTGCTATAAATGCCTTCTAAGTGATGAATATGCTTAACTCACACCACTTGCTCCTGGACTGGTATTGGTGTCTGGGGCTCCCATGTACGTGAAAAGGTAGTTTCAAAGATGAACTATGTACAATTTCATTACACATCAGCATGAATACCTGTATCGATGCTGATGGCAGAAAAGAACTCCATGAAATCCCAAAGGAACTGCTCTTTCTTTTCATTAAAAGACTTGTGTTATATTTTGAATTTCACCAATGAAACCCTGCAGACGTTTGTTTCTCTCTTGGTGTAGATATACAGCGGAGGTATGCTTGTTTTCTGCAGGTATGCGGTTCCTAGAACCATGAATGTGCAGAATGCACATAGTTCAATGCTGTGCTGTGCATGCCATACCAGCTCCCAAGTGCTGCTAAAGACATGCCCCTCCAACAAACCTCACATCTTCACTTTGCCACTTAAATTAAGCACACTTACTTTCACCTTGCTTTGGGGCACCACTTGTTTTTTGAAGGGCATTTTCACAAAATTAAGGGTAAGGAAACATTCTACAGACCTCATGATTTAAACACAACTGACAATGACACAGGACTGACTGACAGTGTCTCCATGTCCACTGGAGCTGCACAGTATGTACACAAAAAATTAAAATTTTTGTTTTGAAATTGCTTTTTCTTATTTTTGACCATACTTGGTAAAAATGCATGTAATAAATCTACAAATAAGGTGGGCTTACTGTATTCACAAATATCATTAATTTCACCTCTTGCTGCACAAGCCTAAAACATTTACTATGTTACCTTTTCCAGCAAGTTTGTCCCATTGTGCTCTGTGTCATACAGGCCACCTCCCAGCATGTGGAGCTATGCCTCTCCATCTAAGCAGTGAGCTACCTTCATGCACGTTCATACACCAAGTTGACAGTATGTGCTTGGCTTTATATTTAAGTATCTGCTAACTGACTGCTGAATGAATAGCTATGAATACCTAGAAAGCAGGCAGCAAGACCTGCTTCAGCATTCTTCTGAAGAATCCTTTCCTATTTAAAAGTTACTTACAATCTGCCTATATCATCTAGATGATTTTTATTAAAAATATTGTTTCTAAGTGTAATTTTTGCTCACTAATCTGAGGCACAGAAGGGGCCAACAGGAATCAAAGAAAGTATTTCAATTAATTTCCATTTCCACCTCCTGGCTCTTCTCTAAATTTACTTCTCTGGCTTTCCAGTTCTTTCCCTTATTCATCTCTTTGTCAGTGAAATAAACCACAGTAAAAAGATGTGGCAAAGTCTATGAGTATCACTGCTAACACACAACATCAAGACTGATCATTCATGGCCAAAGGCTGTTATCATATACTCACTGTTCCTTGTTCTAGTAACAGTTGGCACTTGTTGAGGCATTCCGGGCTGTCAATAAGTTCCAAGAGTGCTTTCTCAGCCTCTATTCTTTGTGTAAGGTCAGACCCTATGTAGAGATGAGTACATAACGCTTCTAATTCGGCCAAAGTCTGGAGGAGGAAAAAAAAAAAAAAACATTTTACTGGAATGAAAAAAAAATAATAACCACAGAAAACAAGAGGTTCAAATATCATGGACGCATACACTGACTCAATATATATTTACTGAGCTGCAACTACTTACCAGGGACACAGGAGCAAACTGAATAGGCCTATCTTCTACCCCCCATGAGACTTACAAGTTGATTGTTACACAATGGAGACCGTACGAGTACAGAAAGTGGAAGACTTCCTAATCCAAGAAATCAGAAAAGATGCACCTGAAGGAGGATCGGTCATGCTGAGATGTTCAAACCTCAAAGGGTAAGCCAAACGAAGAAGAGACTAGAAGCCATCCAGGCAGAGAAAGCACTTACCCCAGCCCTGAAGTAATGCCTTCATTTCAAGGCATTAAAAAGTCATTGTCAGTGGTAACCACACAGCAAGGTGGTAATGCCACGGGACGCTGGGGGAGAGGGTATTCCAAATGGCAGATAATTTATTTTCTTTCTTTTTATATTGGTAGTTTGCAATTGCTCCATCTATAAAAACTAATGATAAATACACGCTGATCTGGACTGCTGAACTCACAGTGATTCAGGTAAACTGTCATAGTTTGGGGTATGTCTAACAATGTAATTAAGTAATTATTATGAAGCTCTTATCTTATAAGCACAATTAATTCATTCCACTTATTAACATTCCATTTACAGGGCCATGGAAAACAACCTGAGGAATTTTAAAAAGAGTCTGGCATTCCTCTGACCATAAAAGAATTTTTGTTAAAGCCATCTTACTAATGCAAATTATTTCACTTGGAACTTGAATTACAGACTTATCCCATGAAGACAAAAATATTGTCATGAATTTAAAAATCAGGTAGGCAAATAAAGGTAATGGGATATTCCTGAAGAAGTCCCAAGTTGGGTCCTTTCTGTGTTGCATTTTTAAGCAGCAGCCTTTAGTTACAGAGGATACACATCCCCTCAATTACAAGTTCCTTCCCCTACTAGAAACAGTCTCACTGCACTGGAATGGAATCTCCTGTGGCTCCTCTACCCTTTTCGCATCTCCCTTCTTCTGAGCCTCTTCACAGCATTTTTGCACTTCCCTTGCAGGTACAGCCCGGTTCCCCAGATTTGGGAATTTTTCACAAGAGTGAAAATAAAAGTTTCAACTGAAGTAAGATAAAGGACCCCAGTAAACCACATTTTAAACATTTCCTCTACCTAGACTTGGCCAATGAGCCCAGATTACTATATATTATTACTCACAATACTGAAATGTATAGAAAAATTTGATTCATGAACACACGAATTCTATTTTTCCAGGAAACCCATTATCAACCTCAAAACTTTTCCTTCATATAGTAAATTTGAAGAACCAAATTCTAGAACTGACAATAATCAGAGTAATTTAATAACTGGTTCTGCTGTCATGCACTCATCCAGTCTCTGTTGCTCACCTGGAGCTCCTGATCAATGAATTCTGGTTCGCCTTCTCTTAATTAGCCCTTTTTATATTGCACAGGTTCTGCCTTTTTAGATAGACAAGTTTTCACCAGTTCATACATTAACTGGTTAATTGCTCAAACGCTGCTCAATGGTTACATGTGTTAAGGAACGTAACAGCCTGTCAAACTGCTTTAGTTTTCTCTCATAAGTATTTGAGAGAGTGCTCAATTCTTTTACCTCAGGATTTATCTTTTTTAGGCCTAAGAGTCTTTGAAGAAATAGACTTTAAATGCAAAAAGAACTAGGCCAGAAGCAGTGACATGCTTAATAAAAGGCACACAAAAAATGAAGACTAATAATAATACCTCATAGGTTCATCTAGAGAACCAAATAAGCTAGTGCTATGTGCACACTGCATACATTATAAAGGCTAGCTGCTTATTATCACTACTACTACCCCCTTATACTGCAATGGGTTCAATCAACAACGATTTGTCCAAGTCTTAATCCCCAACACCTATGAATGTGACTTTATTGGAAAACAGGATCTTTAGAAATCCTTAGTTAAGGATCTCAGGATGAGATCACCCTGGATTCAGAGTTGGCCTTAAATCCAACTCTAAACCCAATTACAAGTATCTTGGTAAGAAAAAAAGAGAGGCAAGCCAGGCGCAGTGGTGCAAGCCTGTAATCCCAGCACTTGGGGGCTAAGGCAGGAGGACAGAGAGTTCAAGGCCAACCTGGACAACATAAGGAGACCTTGTGCAGAGAAGAGGGGAGAAGAGGGGAGGTGAGGGGAGGTGAGGGGAGGTGAGGGGAGGGGAAGAGAGGAGAAATGAGTGCTGCTGAGCTACTCATTCCCCACAAACTCTGCTTTCTTCTTTCTCTTATTTTTTTTACCACTTTCTGAGCATCCCTGAAGGCTTCTTTCTGGGCTTCTTGGAACTCTTCCTTCCATAAACTACATAATGCTTGTTTAAGTGGCTTTACAGTTTATACCTACTAAGTACATATTTTCAGCATGCTCACTTTACAGATGAAAAACTGAAGCTAACAGATCAGACACAAGACTGGAGTAAAGGGTCACTTTTGACTTAAGTTCTAGTCTACAGACTCCAAGCATCTGTTATCTCCTCACCCTTTTCTTCATCTGCCTGCAGATGGTGCCTAATCCTGCTTCCAACACCACCTGTTCACATCTTTACATCTGTCTACTAAGGCTTTCCAGAAAAAAGCTAAAAACAGCCCCTGTATCACAGCCTAAACTGCCATGTTTCCTAAGACCTCTGCAGGGTGTCCGTTATCTGTGGTTTCAAGTCCACAGCAGGATTCAGATTTAGAAGTTTGAGGTTACTTTGCTTTTCCCTCTCCTCCAGTAGAGTAAAAAGTTTGACGTTGTCCAAAATGACGTTTGGCGTTTCCACTCAGCTTCTGTGAGGTAACCCAGAGTAATCTATGTTATAACTTGGCAGGTGTTTTATTTAGGTAGACACTGGCAGTAGCCACAGTTGGGCTGCCACATTTAGAAAGACCAACTATGTGTTTTTTAGGTGATGACTCTGTCACAAAGGTATCAGCAGAACTAAGATTGAGTTCAACCACACAGGCATTCAATCCATGCCTAAACAATTAAACCTCAGTTTTAAAACCAAACCTTGGACCAGCTCAGGTAGTTTCCTTGCTTGGAAATACTCAGTAGTGTCCATTAGTACCACTGGATGCCAGGAGAATCGCACGTCCTGGAAACAAACAGAACTTGTTTTGGCGCCTTCCCAGAACACACTCTGTGTCTCCTTCCTTTGATCTGTACCCTTTCCCTATAATAAACTGCAAGTGTAAGCCTCATAGCTTTCTGAGTTCTGTGAACCCTGATGACTGTCAGACCTGAGGGTGGCTTTGGGAAACCCCTGATCAGCAGTTGGTTTCAGAAAGTGAGATGTCTTATAGACTGTGCCCTCAGCCACAGTGTGGCCAACTACAGCACAACCTAATTTGAGGATAAAGTTTTACTAATTTTTTCTGTAAGACATGTTCAACACTCCCTCCCACAATATTCAGACATTGGCAATCAACAGTTTTCTAACTGTTGCCCCCAGTGCCCTCATTTCTCAGGACTGCTTGAAGAATAGGAGAGGGGCAGTAGGTCTTAGAAGCACCACTGTGGCCACTAGTCCAATGAATGGACACAAGCTTTGGAACCTACCACTTGACCTACTAAGAGCTTGTAAAATTGTTTATCCTTTCATAAGACTCACTGTTGAAAGTGCAGACAGAAATTATCCACCTTCTAAAATAATTGTGAAGACTAAGAGAAACAGGTAAGACTAATCCATCCAACCACACATCAGAGCCACAAAAAGTTCTAATCTTCAGGTGCTGACAATCCATGCTGCCAGAATGAGCTTTTCCAACATCACTTTTTTCATCAGCTACCGTTGACTTAAAACACAGCAGCTCTCAATCACATCTGGATCAAAGCAGTAGTCTGGGGATTAAAAGGCATGGCTACATTCTCTGTTGGAACCCTAACAAAACACTCAATTATGTCTGCTAAGTTGTTTCTATACTATCTCTTGATTTTTCTCAAAGTCCCCCAAATGTCTCTAAAGAACCACAGCTTGCTTTCCCACTTCTTTTTCTCCTTATTACTCTCTTCTCTACCTGACTCTTCCTCAAAGACAGACAGACCCATTTCTTCTTTTTGGGTCCAAATACCCTAACTCACAGCTTTCTAATCAGACAGCCTGTGATGAATGGCATAGGATCATGTGATCCTGCCCTCCAAGTAACCAGGCAGACTTGGGCAGTTGGGCAGAGCAGGATACACAACAGGGATGCTCCCCACTGATGGCCTTTCCCTGTGAGTCACCCAACTGCCATGATAGGAAGGAGCCTGTGGAGCAATGCCCTAGCCTGACCCTAAAGAAATTTGTTTTCTTACCACCATCTGGTGACTGTCCTGACAGACAGTGACAATAAGATACAATAAATATGAACTTAGTTATCAAGACTACTTTAGTTATGTAACTTCAGGCAACTCACAACTTTACAAATTCAGCATCTCCAGGAATAAAAGAAATGTATGTGCCACTAAAAGAATAAAGATATATATACCTGTTCTTTAGTGGTGGAAGCTCACCCATACAGCACATTGAAAACTCAAAACACTAGGTACTGGTAATCACTACTTACAAACGCTCCTTTAGTTAACTGATGATATGCTGAAAAGAATTCAAACTAAGAAGCTTCTCTTTTTTTCTGGTCACCAAGATTGTCTGGACTTCTGTTTGTCCAAACTCCACTTTTAAGGTGACCATGGCACTGTAAAGCATATTCCATCTTTCCCAACCCTGCACCTGACCATGAAGAAGTCATTTAGGATCTTTCCAACCCTGAGAATGTTCCAAAGTACTCCCATAGTTTTTAATTCCCTCTTAAGATTTACACCTGCTCTATGACCATCTGATCACCTATTTACAAGCCACAGTCCTCTCTGCGAGATGCTTCCTGTGAAAATTTCCCTCAGGGTATATTTATTAATGTGGTAATACATGTGCT